ACATGTTGTAAGAGGTTGTAAATACCGAATTTTCAATCAATTCACGAATTCAGAACCTCTTTAGTGTCCCTTTAAAAAATTACGCGGCTGATGGTGCTCGCCTTTTTTTAGTGGTTCCTAAGAATTGGAGAACGCACGTACTCCATGCTGTGCCCAATAACGAAGCTGTGGTGCACAAGGGGTTCGCCAAAACGTACCATCGCCTACTGGCTGTATTCTACTGGCCTACCATGAGACTCAATAAAGAAAAGTGAGTGGTCAGTTGTGATAAAAGCGAGCAATTCAAGCGACCAAGTACAGATGCAGTTGGTCTCCTGCACCCTGTGACGTAGTCCTTATTACCTGTCGAAATGGTTGGTGTGAATTTTCCTCGGCCCATTTCCGTGCTCATCAAACAACAACCGTTGGATTATAGCCTACGTCGACCACATCACGCGTTATGTTCGAAACCAAAGTGCTGGCACCTGGCCAAGGCAATCGATGTATCTAGATTCCTCCTCTCTTCTGTAATACTGCCCTATGGACCGCCTCGTATTATTCTGAGTGATCCTGGTCGCTTATTTGAAGCCGATGTAGTAGAAAAGATCTTGCGTTTACGTGCTTGTCAATTTCGCCACGCTAGCCTGTATTACCCGCCGACAAACGCTCTCGTAGCGAGTCGTCATGTTCCAACGTGTCTCGCTTTTGTGTACAATCGGTTAAAGCCACCGCCGTCACTGCCGGTGCATTCGCTGATGTCATTTCTGCTGGTGTATCTCCCGCAACAACATTTGAAAAGGTGCGAGCTGTTTCTATTCAGTACTTTATGTGAATAACTAGAATTCAGTACAAAATTTTGTTCTTAGAAAGCAGGCAAAATCGAATTATCATGGTAGCGATTGTAGCGGCGACGGGATGGGGTAGAACAAATGTGAACATCTTCGATGCCACGTGGTCATGGTTTTCTGGCCGCTCTGGCGTTTTCATTTTGCTTCACTTGCCAAGTGTGAATGTGGCCTAAGAGCACTAGACACTAGCGTATTCGTCTAGGAAATCTAGACAGCACAGTGCTGAAGGAAAACAACGAAGCTGAGGCACAACTATTTTCGGAGAAGTGGTGGCGAGCTTCAAGAATGACCGCTTTCGACCTCAAGTATTTTAAACTAACTTGTAACCGTGAAAACCAACGCTCACTTTGGGATTTTAATAGATTGTATCATCTTTGAAGTGCAACAGCAGCATAAAAAAGTCCCAGCTTTGCCCGAAAAGGCGAAGCAAGGAATAAAATCGCAACAAATTGGAATGTCACGCGAAGAAGGGAAATCAGACTAAACGTGCCCTGGTTACTCACGCACAAATTACGCTCGAAACGCACATACAGGTACTGGTGAACGCGAATGTCTCAGTTGTTACTTCGCTGTGTCTCAAAAGCGCGCTCTTTTCGCAAACGGAGACAGTGCAGCGAGTAAAGTGACCACTGTTTGCCCGGTAACTGCAACAGAATCGTTCCGGCGAAAGCCCAAGGCGTACTGATTCTCTCCACCGCGAAATAAGCGCGCGCACGCGTGAGCATCTACCTCACTCCCCCTCCGCAGAACAAAGTACGCGTGGTAAATTAACGCATCAACGCGCGTCATCGCGTAATGCCAATCTGGTGATGGGCGCTCATTGCGCCATCTTGCTCGTAATGCTGAAAACAGGATACTTGCCCTGAGATCCCCATCGTTAGTGGTAAGTGGTAGATTTAGATATCTCGCCATTTCAATGTTGAAGGAAGTGCTCCTTCGTGGCTCAGTGGCTAACGCCACTCACTTACAAGCAAGAGCTCGGACGTTCGATTACACGCACTGAAGTCATTTTCAGGATTGTGTTTTCTTTCTTACGTTTTCATATATATAGATACGTATACATATACAGTGAATTATAGCGGTCACGAACGTCGACAGCGGCAAAATGCAGCCGAGAGTGTCCATATAGTTGTTATTACAATAAAATGTACATTCGAAACTTCAGTTGGCTATAAACAACGCTGTCATATGAGTGGTGATGCAGACGACTCGAGACGCCGGCGTGCCCAACTATTCCCACAGCCGCCCTGGAAAAAGCACGCGACTTCCGCCACACTTTTCCCTCTGTATGTCGCATTGCGAGAGCCTCTCATTAGCTTTTCTTTCTCCATGCTCACCAGTGTCGTCATCAGTATTGTCGAAGATTTTCTTGTTGAAGATGACGAGCTTAACGTTGTTTCCAATCGAGTAGGTAACGCGGAAGTCCACTTGAGTGGAATCAGGAACGGTGGCTTGCATTTCGTGTGTCGGGAGCGTGATTGTTCGCGTGACGATGGCCCAGACAGAGCCACTGTTCTAGCGCATTCACTCGACTCATGCCATCGGAGTTGTACGCCAGCGTTTTGCTGAGCTTCGTGAGATCAGACACAAAAAAGTTAATGGCCGTGCTTACTACGTATACCATATATAACATAGCAATTTGTTGCTGTGTTATATATTGCTTCTTCCTTACGGTAAAATTCTGACTTTTTGATATTCTGTTTATTACTACTGCGTGCTCCTTCAGTGCCCCCAGTTCCCTTCATATTGTTGTCTCCTATGAGTATCAACAGCTTCCGGCCTGCAACAAATGTTCCTTTTTTTTCATTTTAAAAGGAAGGCTGTAATGAGACCACAACAACCACCGCTTTTGACGTGAATTTGTCCGTCGCTGCCACTGCCGTCACCGGTGTCCGTCAGGGCTAAAGAACAAAATAAAGGAAACTAAACAAATAAGCCATATTTAGCACAGATTAGAAGCTCAAGCCCGGGTGCTCAATGCAGCAACCCTATAATCTACCACACAGCCACGCCGATGCTGAGACTGAATGGAAAAGAGACCCATGGAGGCTTCATATCGGGTAAGGAACCACGCTATGACATGTGTAATGGGACGTTATAGAAGGGTGAAACAACATTCTGGCACCACACAGTGCGAACCATGTCACTTGTGGATTGTTTAAGGCTTTGAACTGATTACAAATATATTACCGATGATTCTTCTTCGTCATTCACCACCACATCGACGAGTGTCCATAATGACTAAACAGATGTGCAGCGGGTAGCTTCTTCACAGAATAGAGAATTGCAGGTGTTGTAGGTGTTTCTCTACTTCAGAAAAAATTATTACTTACGGTGTAGTGGATGCCATGGAAGTGTACGTGTAGTTGCTTCAAAAGTGCTTAAAACAGGTGCTAAAAAGGCCGCGCTTCCAGCTTTTTTTGTCTGAGAGAGAGAGAGAGAAAACATTATTTTTGTGCTTGCTGGGTTCACGCGAGGCGAAGTTCAGGAGACTAGCCCTACCGGAGCCCCCCCCCCCCCCCCCGTTCTTTAGGAGCGCAGATTTCATGCAAGCTTGGCACTGTTTTTCTTTTTTAATTTGTTTAGTGAAACGGTTGAGGGTAGTGCGATTTGGCCATTTTATGTGACCCATGCTCGTAAAATGACCCACGTTTACTTTTTTATATTTTTTTAGTGGACGAGTGCTGAGTAGTAGTATTTACCGAACATCTGTGGCACATAACCGTAATATGAACCATATTAACAATGCTACGTCAACACCACACACACGAAGGACTCGGCCAGAAACACACTGGCTGTTAACAAACTAGAGGATTCTAAAGCTTCGTCTTTAGGAGCTGAACGTGATGACGACATCGCCTTCCTATAGTGCGTACTTCAAACACTTAGGGCATAAAACGTTTTGGAATTCGCTATGCACCCACTACGTGGCCTTAAGGGAAATAGGCGTAGTGATGTGTATGCCTTTTGTAGTGGGGCTTCAACCACGGAGCCACTATGATAATCACATATTCTGACGCCCGTTGGCAATGGACGCTTTACCACGCACTATTACTGCAATACTTCATGTTGCATTGTGAAGCGTGTATACAAGACGCGTGTGTTTGTGAAACATGAAAGCTGCTTTCACTGTATTTACAAGCAGAGGAAGTTCTTTTCACTGCTTTCACAGGCAGAGGCGTGGCCGTGTGGTAGAACATCCGCTTGCCGAACTCAAACAACCCTGGTTCAGTCCCCACTCTACTATAGGATTTTTTGCCATTTACTTTATTTTCATCGTTCTCAATTTTTCGGTCACGCATAAGATGATGATGATGATTTTTCGCTCATAACCAACGACTCCAACACCGGTAGCGAACCGAGCTCTTTAACGTCATCGTTTTACCACTAATATGGGCTATTTTTTTCATCCTAAGCCTTTACCTCACCGTCTGACAAATGAAAAAAAAAAGAACATATAGGAACGACACGATAGCCTGTGGCGATAACTGTTAAGCGAAGGCTTCCTAAACATATATTGCACGCTACAAAAACACAAATGTCTTCTTAAACATCACAGAGCTGACGTGACCTCACATGTATGTTGAGCAGCCTGTGATGCGACTCCGAGAGTGAAACGTATCCCTTTTGTTAGCACTTCATGAAAAAAAGCGATAAAGCAGCATGTACGAGATAAAATATTGCAGCATTTGCAGTGGACTCGGCACACAAGAGCATAATTTATTCGCTATAAAATGTGTAACATAAACCCTCGAACACTGCTTACTATAAACACCGCCAAAATGTATTCGACATCAATTCATCTGGTGATTCAACCCTATTTTATTAGCGCCTTTCTATACCAAGCAAGGATATTATACAGTTTCGGCCACTGCATCAGTACAAACAAAAAGAATATGCCACAGGATGTTTCTAGGCAACATAGTAAAATAATCATACCAGGATAGGGTTACCATGCTAGTTTTAAAAATGCGACTGCTATAATTCATTATATCCTATATGTAAAAGCGTATCAATTTTTGATAAACATTACGTGAAATCGAGATGAACAGGCACACATAGCTCTATCTAAGGCCACAGTACAGCAAAAATAAGGCACTGCCTATCTTTTCAAAGCATAGTCCACACTTCGACTAATTCAAGCTTATAAATCACACTGTAGTACCTAAAGCTTCAATGCACGAACATCGTGCATGGTTCATCAGCCACCATCTGGTCACCACGTTTGCAGCCGAAAGCGTCAGCGAATGCCCCCACGTGACGCAGCGGCAAGTTGACCCTCATTTTTGCCGGTGGTCGTTTTCGCTGAAGAAACTGCCTGAGCTCGAAGCCTTCGTAGTCATTTTCGCAGTGGTCCACGGCGTAATACATGAAGAATAGCTGCGTCGGAGTGTAGTCTGGCAAAGTGACAAACCGATACTGCAGCTTCCAAATGCGGCGCACATCGAGAAGAAGTGCACGGAAGGCGTGTAGAGCTAGCTCGATTGCCAGCGTCTGTTCGAGCAGCCACCGACGCAGCCAACGGGCTCGATCATCTAGTAGGCTATACGGCAGCGGCACCTTCTCCGCATCCTGCTTCGAAAGTGCCCGCCAGTCGTCTTCCAGACAGCGCCGAGCACCCTGAAGTGCACGCTGTGAATCGGGGCCCAAGTCCAGCGCAGCTTCACGATCATACTCGAAGTTCGAGTATAAAAGAGGCACCATTGACGCGTAAAAGCGAACGGCAACTCGGGCGAGGTGGAAACCAAATATGGTGCTGTTGGCAGGCACTGAGTTATTGAGCAGGCCTTGAGGAATGCCAACACGACGCAGACCAGCGTCAAAGTAGGGCCACATGCTAAGGGGAGACAGCGGCCGCCAGTCAGGACCGGAGCGCAGTTCAAGTAGTGTACGCCGACTCCGTATTTTTCGATATAAGCCAACAATATCCTCCAGCGTATTGCCGACTTTCAAGTCAGACGGAAGGCACTCCGCGTTTTCCCGGACTTGATCGATTGAATAGGGTGGGTCTACACGTATTCGCCGCAATCGAAAGGCTAACGCGAAAAGTGCCCGCTCGTCAAGCCATTGGACCCGTGGCAATGCTTGGAGGAAAGCGACCTCGAGGTCAGACAGCCATCGCCGCTGCGAAAAAGCAGTGCCATCGTGTATCAGTGGCAGTGCAGTAGCCTTGACCAAGCAGAGTGGTAGAATCACCTCCATAGCTCGAAGACACAGACCGTCGATGTCAGGAACCTCTGAGCGGCCACTGACCTCCAGGAAAGACAGCTCTCTGAGCGCGTGCAAAGAGTCTGGCATGAAGGCTGCCAGGCGAACTAAAGCACGAAATCCGAGGTGATTTATAAGAGCGTTCGCCGTAACTTTTCGTAATTCCTCTGGAAGCTTACCGAAATATCTTCCTGAGAGCAGTTGCACACGCTTGATGCTTTTACATGTCATAGGTCTCGTTCTGTTTCGCTTGTTATCAACAGCTGTGTTGAGCAGCTTAAATTCGCCATGAGGAAGTTCACAGCCTTTTATCACAATAGCGTTCTCATCATAGTCGGCAAGTCCCTCAATCACATCAGATGCCGTCATCATTTCGTATGTCAGACGCTCTATGTGGTAAGGGTCGTTCAGATTAAACGTCTGCAGAGACTCCTTGAGGGCGCGTTCGACAAGGTCAGAATGTGTGCGCCGCGGCCAGTGCAGTGGCTCAGGAGGCTTCATTGTTATCACCCCCTTTCTTACGTTAAAAGGATCAACAGCCACGTATATATCTGCAAGTGCTGGCAAGCCTATATCGCGCAAAAGTTCACCGGCAAAAAGCCATGCATCTTCGCGACGACGCTCTTCATAACTGCGAACTGGCCACTTACGAATTCTCCAATGTTTGAAAACTTCACGCACTTCATCAACAGAGGAAGAAGAGGCGCTGTTTTGACACGCCCTCAGGAATTTCACTGGAGGTTGAATAGATGCGGCACTGTCAGTGAACGATGATAGTAATGCACGTTCCATGCGATCCTCAAGAAAGACATCTTCAGATATTGTTCCTCCTCGGGTCGCTTCCACACTTCGCCTCTGTGTCCAGCGCTGGCAAATGTGTTCGTAAAAATCCTCGCATGGATACTCCGCTTCACTCAACAAACTCTTGAGAAAATTTCCTTCCTTAGCGCAGAAGTCACTGTCGCAGAGGTAGAAGTTGGGTACACGAGTTTTTGCACTAGATGAATTTCGAGGCTGAGTGTAGCTTGAGGTTGATGACCTTGGGACTACGGTAGTGTTTGTTGAAACATCATCTTTGAGCTTGGGGCTCAGGTAGGTGGTGGTGCTTAAAACAAGAGCGATCCACAAGATCGTTAATAAGCTCACTAGCGAAATGAAGCCGCGTTCCGGAAAGAGGTCTTGTGGTGGCGTTTCCATAATTTCAAACAGCTGTTTTTCGACTGCGATTTCATCTGCGCAGGCCGTAGGTATATTACAAACAACGACGCTGTCAACACGAGTGATAGAAGACTCTATTTGTGAGCGATGAGCTATTTCTTTTCTCCTTGTCGGCTTCTCCGGAACTTCCGTGATCAATTTGGGCGCTGACTGCAATAAATGCTCATCCTTTTCACTAGGTTCAGGAACCGGATTTGGTAATGGTAAAAGATTTTCGGCGGAAAAATCGTCATGCGACTTCGCTTTACCATCATCAAAGTTTTCTATAAATGCTTTTGTCACTCGTTTTGATATTTTAGACCGCACCGCAACCATCGGAGGCTTTGGAGCCACTCGAGGCAATAAGTAAATGGAGTCAATTGATTCGGATTTCACAATGTCTTCGGCTACGTCATCAAGCCGTAAGCTGTCAAGTTCAGCCGTTTTTGAAGTAGCATCTCTTGGTTTCTCAGCACTCTCTCCTGTCATGTGGTTCACGAAATCCTCGGTTGAGTACAAGTCTTCATGCGCAGGTTCTTCGAGATATAAATGGTCGTGTGGCTTTTGCGAAGCTACTGCTTTTGATTTTCTTGGTGCAATAGATGGAGCTTTCCGTACAGAATGCTCTTCACGCACCGAATCCTTTCTTGGGCTTGTTGGCATCAGTGCCCCAAACAAGCAACTGCTCACACTGCTCAAGCTCCAACATTGCTTAGATTGAGGTGAAACGTTCACACTTCCATCAGACATCATATTGGCCTTCGAGTGCTTCACAGGGGTGAGATTACTTGAATCGCTATAGTCGGTTGAGCTGCTGTCTCTACCTGTCTTCTTACTGCTCTTACGGTCTTTTCTTGTCTTCGCCTTTTGTTGCAGCAGCCGGAGAGAATCATGGTCATTCTCTGAGAGTTCTGAAAGCAATGTGTCTATCTCAGATGAAATAGTTTCAGGGCTTGGAAGGTTTCTTCTGTGGTTCATTCCTGCAGGTGATATAGACTTTCTATACTCCACGAGAACAACATCAGGGACCTCAGGCTCTGGCGACCCTGTAGTCAATGGATCATCAAATGGCAAAACTTTGTCTGCAGTCGAGATCTCTGGCTTGCGCGCTTGCATGCCTATTTTTCCACCTGATTCACGTTCTCTCAATAAATTTGCTTGCACGCACTTTGTCGCGGCCACCTGAGGCTCCAAGTTAGTCTCAGAGGGCTCCTGTTTGTAGGACACATGTTTCCCGCTTGGTTTGTCGGCTAAAGATGACGCTGAGGAAAAGAAGGGGATAAGACGTCCGAGGAAAGGAATGCCACCCTGAGTGGCCGAGTTCCCGTCTTTCTCACAAATATTCTTTGTATTCCAAGCAAAGTACTCGTTTGCCTCTATTTCAGCTTCTTTTCCGCCAGAAACACCACCCGATGCACGCTTGCCAGATTCTGATGACACACTACCAGCATTCGAGCACCTATGTGCATGGCGTCCACGCGGTCGTCTCCACCAAGTTCTGTTATCGGTTGATAGAGGTTGAGTTGGCAATGCATACGGTGCAACAGGATAGGGCCACGGCATAGCGATTGGCACTGTGGTTGGTACTTCTTCACGAGTGCATAATGATCTCTTCTTGCCATCATTTTGCTCTCGCTCTAATAGCCTCAAGCGCTCTTGAATGTGACATAATTGATTGATACCAAAATTTTCGTGTTGGTATCGCTGGTCAGTTTGTCTTCGTCCTCTAAGGCGATCCAGCTCACTTTGAAGCCGCTGTCTTTCCAGTCGCAGGGCTTCCTCTTCTTGGCACAGTTCATCGAAACGTGCTTTTTCCTCATAACGGCCCGTTTCCAAGAGTCGCAACCTGCTTCTGAGTAGCCTCGCTTCCTCTTCTGCTCTTATCCTGGCTTCGAGGTCTTCCAGTCGCCGTCCTTCAGACCTTAATGAGGGTTCCCCATAAACTGGTGTTCTATCTTCAAAAGGCCTAGTGTTTTCATACTTATAGACGCTTGTAGAGGACCAAGAACTAGGTTTGGGGCGTTCGAAAAACTGGCTTTTCCGTCGCCCAAGGCCGATACAGTGGTCACCACACTTCACCGCACAAGTGCACACCGAGTCCATGCTAGTGCTCATAGGTCCAAAAGTACGTGACATCCACGGTGGCTGAATTCGCCTTGGTGGGCAAGGTAAATATTGGGGAAAGTGCAATCTCCTGCTAACATTGACGGAGGGAAAATCGCGAGCTATAAATTCACGCTGTAAATCCGTCTGGTTCAAACGTCCAACACCAGTCAGTTTTGCGGACGGCAAAATATTCGTGCGTGTCCAAAGTTCATTGATGGCCGGCTTAGGACGGGCTTTCCAATCAGTGGTGCTATTTGGCTGACCGACTTGATGCAGCACAGAGCTCCCTGACACGGCGTCTAAGGGTCTTACCACACGCATTTTTCGTAATCGGGGCCCTAGTGGCTGTCCGTAGATGTTTCGTTGAGGTTGCATTACTTCTTCAGTAATTTCTTCAACGTAACCCATACCAGAAACTCTTTCGGTAGTAGCACCAGCACACTCAGCTGTGCTCCATTTCGTCTTGTCCATTTGATCCAGTTGATCTTTAGTTGTTCTATCAAACCTCGGTCCAGCGCCTTCGCGGGTGTCGCGGTGCAGTGTGTATTTTTTCTTGCGGTTTGCGCTTTGCCTTTCTTGCGCTTTGCGTTTCTTCCGGCGTCTGCGTGTGTAGTCCTCTCGATCTATCTCCTCTAAGTCATCCGAGCTTCCCTCTGAGTCGCTGCTTTCCGATGATTCGTCGTATTGGTCCTCTCTGAGCATTTTCTCGCTCCCCTTCCACTCTTTTTGATAATATTGCTCGTAGCGTACCGGTCTTTGTTGCTGCCCATCATAAAGCGACCATGTTGCTGTAGGTTCGATAAAGCTGTATTCAATGACTTCTTGGTCTGGTTCCTGCGGCGAAGCTAAACCGAAGAACGACAGCAGCCGCTCCAACCTCGTCTCGGAACGGGGCCGTTTGATAACGTAACTGGCAACCGGTCGCCTCATTGGTACTGCCTGTACCTCATATTCAGGCATACGCGCCCTCTGGGCCTGCTTGTGGAGTATGTCGTTGACAGTTTCGGTGCTCGCATCTGCCATGGCTGGCCGTTCTGGGTTGGCATTCAGCTTCTGAATATTTTCGACGACATCCATAATTTGCTTCGTGATGGGCGAAACAGACTTCGTTTGTTCGATCGCTGGCGCGTCTTCCTTTACCGTGGCCCTCTGGGCCTCAGGTAGTTTTTGCTCTTCCTTACGACTTCCTACAGCCTCTTCAACCTGCTTCTTTTCATCTTGCTTTTCGTCATCTTGCTTCTTTCCTTCTTGCTCCTTTCCAGCATCTTCCACCTTGGACGGTGCCTCTCCCTTCCTCTGCTCTTGCTCCTGCAGGCGATTGGCTTCTTCCTCCTGCAACCTCCCTTCCTCCGCTTCTTTATCTTTGCGGGCTTCTGCTTCTTGTCTCAGTTTATCTTCCTCTAATTCTAGTAGGGGACCTTGAACGGCCTCTCCACTCGATGTGCTTGATCCCTGCTCGATAGCGTCCGCGATGGCGGCTGAGGAGGGTTTATCGGCCTCGTCGACGAAGTTCATGTCGTCACGAGCCGCGACGCCTTTTGATTTCCGCTTGTTTCCTTGAAGTTGTCCGACCCTAGCGGGCGCCTGCTGTCTCCCGAGGCCCCGCCGCCTGCGTCTACTAGGGCCGGCTGGTCTTGCACGAGGAGCACCACCTTGATGATGCCCCCTCCCGCGGCCTTGAACGTGGTGGCGGCCGCCGCGGTGTGCTCCGCGAGGGCGGATGCGAAGCACTCCACGGCGGCCTCCCCGGTGGCGCCCACGATGGCCTCCGTGACCAGGAAGCTTTTTTCCACCGCGGGCCATCCGAGGACGTAGCTCGGAAGAGAAGTAAGGCTGCCTATTGAGATTTCGTGACAGCTGTTTGCTACCTCGTGAGATGGCAATGCTGGTGCGCTTGCTCGTGGTTTAAAATGCCAATGATGACAATGCTCCTTCGCACATGGATCGCACCCACAGTTGGTCGATTACGATTAATCAAGCATTTCTCACATGAAAGGTTAATTATGTGTAGTATTACCGAATGACTAAATAGAAAAAGGGCAAACGTTTTAAGGAAAGAGGTCAGTATTTCTTTCTTGTAAATTTATACCACGCATCTAGATTGTTATCTCAAAGAGATATAGAGTGTAACCTAACGGTTTCTCTTAAGCTTTGTATAGTCACTTTCTTTCTATTCTAACCACAGACATACGCACGCA